GTCTGAAGGAGGATGGCCGGGCTGCAAGCATGCACCCTGCACCCCGGCGATCCTGCCCCGCCACTTCTGGTTCTGACTTCCAGAACTCTGCCTGGCCCAACTGCCCCCTCTTGCTCCCTCCCATGCTTCCCTCCACTCTCCTAGGAACTGTGTCCCCCTGGGCCCTCAAGGCTCCCTTGTCCCCATCCCAGCATCTCTCCCTTCCTGACCCCAGGACGCAGATTGGGGGAACATGGCCTGTGGAGGTCTGTGACACCTGCTCCCCTCAAGCTGCCTTTGAGAAGCACCCCTCTCTTGGAAGCACCCTCGGCCTTCTGGGCCTAGGCCCCCATCTGTCACTTGGGGCCCACCTAGTACTCAGGCCTGCAGTGGGTGTCAGTGCTGTTGTCCACAAATGCTCAGACCATCCAGACTGACCCCCAGGGACACCTGCAGACTGGCCCTCAGGGGGCTTCCACCAACAGGCTGGCCAAGCTCAGGTGACACCTGTCAGGGCTGCCGTGGGGATGGCTGAGCTGGTGGCAGAACTTTGAGGTACATAGCTGGGGAACAGCCTTGAGCTGGGTGAGGCCTTGGTGCTCCTGACTAGACCAGGAATGCCCAACGCTGACACCCTGCCAGGAGAGCCAAGGGGGGGGGAGTCCTGCCTTCCCAGCCAGGGGGAGGGGGCTGGGGTCCCACTGTGCAGCCGGGCCCAGTGGGCCATGTCTACCCCCACATCCCTCCAGCAGCCAGCAAGGAGGCCAGAGCTGGGGCGACACAGAGCTGGGCCCCAGCCGAGACTCCATCTGCCGGCCACATGCGGTCAAGTGACGCCACCGGCACGCACGAGTCCAGATGCAGAGGCTGACGGTGCCTGCGGACACTGCCCCCAGGGCCCCGAGGCTGCGGTGGCTCAGCACCAGATCAGGCTTTCGTGTCCACGGTGCCTTCCACCCCACCCCAGGCTGCTGCTCAGAGCTGCCCGAGGGCCCAGGGTGATGCCAGGGCCACCTCCCACCACCGGTAGGGGCTGGAGAAGCTGCATCCCAGAGCCCTGCCTAGGCTGGGTGCTGCAGCTCCAGGCTGGGGTTGAGACTGAGACGCCCGGCCCGGCCTGCGGACGCCATGGCTACCCGGCACACGGCTCTGAGGCCCCCGCCGCAGCCAGGCTGGAGGACCCTCCCGTGGTGCGAGGGAGAAATAGGCCCAGGGCCTGGCCAGGCTCCAGGTGCGAGACAGCTCCCCTCCATGCTCCCTAAGGGCCATGCCTGGAGCAGGGGCTCCACACCCAGAACCTTCCAGAAGATTCGGGCTCAGCATCCCTGTCACTGTGCACCCCCAGCCCTCCCCCCCATGAGAACCGCCTGTGGGTCCGCAGCCATTGGTGAGGCCTGGATGTGGGTTTTGCTCAGGGAGGTGCGTGCAGCAGGGCAGCGCTGGGTGAGCCATGGGCACCGCACCCCTGGCCACCTGTGCCCTAACTGTACCTGGGCACTGGGCCATGGGAGCTGGATGTGACTCCCTGCCTGAGGAGATGGACAGGCAGGAAGAGGTTATGGCGGGGCATGGCAGGGGGGCCCGGGCCTGCCCTCCGCCGGGCCATTTCCTGCTGGGCCGTGCAGCCAGGGCAGTCAGGACAGACAGGGAAGTGTGGACGGCAGGGCAGGAAAGCGGAGAGTGGCCTGGTGTCCCTGCGGCCTTCCTGCAGCCTCTCAAGGCAGCCCCGACTGCCAGGCTTCACAGGACACCGTAGAGCGGCCACCAGGAGCCAGGAAGACCCCGGGGCCACCTGCCTGGGGACCGCAGCCTCAGGAGCCCTGCGGCCGCTCTGCAGCGCCCCCTGTGGTCACGTGCGCCGCTGCAGGAGACCACCTGCCCCGAGCTTCAACATGGCAGGGAGAATGGGTCCCCGGCCCAGTGGAGCCGCCCTGCTAGGCGGGCGTGTCCCATGTTTCGCTGCTCCGACTGGCTGCTGCTTCTCTTTATGAAGACACTGGGGTTCCAGTCTGCAGCGCTCTGTCTCTACTGTGTCTCAACAACCCCCCACATCAGTAGATTAAAAGCACTGAGAAGTACCGCTCGCCCCCCCCAAAAAAAAACCTGTGTACAGAATCTTCAATTTACAAAGAGACATATGGACAACAGAATCCCAACACGGCTCCGACACCCCTTCAGGACACCCCTCCATCCGGGCCCCCTCGTACCCGAGACCCAGGCCCAAAGCCATACGTGCTGTTAGGCAAGGAGCCCCAGGACTTGTGCACAGAGGGGCAGCTGCTCACAGGGCACTCAGCACCCCTGCTCCTGCAACGAGGGGCCCTGAGTCTGCCAGGCCCCAGGGCAATCCCAGCAGAGACATCAGGAGGATCCCTGTCGACCCCGCCACCTGGCAAGGACAACAGTGGGATTCAGAACGACCTGAGCAGCCCCACTGCGGTGTCCCAGAGCCACCGATGCAGGCCCCGTGAGACCCCAGTTGCCAGGTTCTCAGGCCCAGCAATCTGTCTTTCTGTCACCTCCAAGGTCTGGGAGAAATGAGCACCGATTAGCGGCTTCCGGCCATTCTCTCCACCCTTCCTCCAAAAACACCATGGGTGCCAACACCCACCCTCACAGCCCCGTCCTCCGGGTCACCAACGCCCACCCCCCAGCCCCCTCCTCCAGATCGCCAATGCCCACCCTCATGGCTCCATCCCCCCAGATCAGAGCGAGGAAACTTCACGAAGGCAGGGAGAAGTGCCGTCTGTAAGCCCCCGGGAGACTGGTGGGCGCAGCCTGCGAGGAGGGTCCCTGCACCCCTGCCTGGGAGCCAGCGCTTCCCCCAGGTCTCCGCACACGGACAGGGCTGCAGGGGAGCTCAGAATGCTGGCACAGGGGACCATGGGCAGCCACTTACACCGTCACCTGAACACTGGGGGCCAGGCTTGCCCAGGGGCCAAGGGCACCCAGCACTGGGGGACCCAGAAACAACCACGGCAAGTCAAGGGCCTACTCTGCCCTGACCTGCCCCTGTGGCCAGGAAGATGCACAGGGCAGACAGCGCAGGAACAGCCCAGGCAGCTGCATACAGGGTTCTGCATGTCCTCAGGCTCTGAGGTCATCTGAGCCCTTGGCCAAGTGACACTGTGATCCCTGTTTGTGCCACCAGCACGGTCACGGGGGCTAGCCGAGCCTCGACTCGTCACAGCAGGATGGATGGGTACTGCTCGAACAGAACACTCACTGTGCCCATGAAGATGCCCAGCTCTTCTGCAGCTTGAGGGGCAACACCACACCTGCAACACGAGCCACACACCCCAGTGGGGAAGGGGCTGAGTCCTGGCGCCAGCCAAGGACAGGGTAAACCACGCCCACACTCTGCCTGGACCCACCAGGGTCACAAGACCCTGTTCTTCCACCCTGGCAAGGGCAGGACACCCGCTTCCTAGAGATCCCGGAGGCCCTGGCCCATTCGCGCACCCAGTTTAGCTCCCTGGTGCCTGGGGATCCTGGTCTCCTCCCTGGACCCTGCCATCCCAGCACCCCCAACTGGTCCTTGGTGCCTGTCACAACCTGCTGCCTGTGCCAGCCTCCCTGAAGACCAAGGCTGGCACTGCTGCTACCAGGTTCTGACAAAAACACAGCCCTCAGCCACAACCTCGGCTGGGGCAGCTCCGAAGTGTGAAGGCCTTGGGTTCAACCCCAAGTGGCAGAAAGAAACAGGGTAATGTGCTGGTCACCTGGGCCCCACAGCATCTCGCATGACCACCTGAGACCCCCCTTCCCCATCACCCTGCACACTCCTCCCAGACCCCAGGCCAGGTGCCCAGGGAGGCCCTGGTGACCTCCCCGAGCTGGCCATCCCCACACCCCTGCCCCTCCTCCATGGGCCACGGTAGACCCACCTGGTCCTTCCAGGGCCTGAGGGTCCCATGTCAGGTGGGACAGGCTGAGGCAGGCGGGGCTATCAGGACAGGCCCAGGGCTCCAGACAGAGGGTCACAGGCCCCAACTGGGCTGTGGCCCAGCCTGTAAAAAAGTCCTGTTCCCAAAATCAGTGCCTCAGTCATCTCAGCCCCAGCCGCAGCAGGGAGACCACCCCCTTATGCTTACACACACGCTGTCCATCCAACCCTGGGTGGCTACTGTCCTGGGCTGAGCTGGGGGTGGCACTTGTAGCCAGATCTTGCCCAGCACACCTCTGCCTGGCCCAGGACACAGCTCCACTTCCGACCTGAGGCTGATCCCCCCCAACGGGGAACCCCAGGGTGCAGGCTGTCAGCCTGACTTCCTGTTCCATCCTACGCCAGCCCCTGACTGTCTCAGCCCATTACTGAGCCATCACTGGCTCAGAGCAGAAGCCCAGGGGACCCAGGACCTGGCTTTGATGTTCCCCACAGCAAACCCCTTTGTTCCTCCCAGACACCAGGAACAGAGAAGGGGGGGCGGCAGAACACATGGAGGGGGCGCCAGCCAGTGCAGGCCCGGACACCCACCAGAGGGCTGGCGGCTTCCCAGCTGGTCCCCAAGCTGGCCTCCTTCTGTCTCCCCCGCTCCTTCCTGGATAGACTCGCTTCCCTCCTAGAAAAGCCTGCACTGTTCTCTCCCTCTTCCCTTTTCCCACTGACACTCACCCCAGGGGAGCAGCTCAGTCCCCAGTAGAGGGCACCCCATGCCCTCGGCTGACCTCACCTGCCCATGGTGCCTTGCCCTGGACACCTGTCTGCACATAGCAGGGCAGAAGTCCAGGCCGAGGCTGCACAGCCACAGTCCCCTCCCCTCCACAAGAGAGGCCCAAATGCCCCGGGCCTCAGCTTGCTGGCCACCCACCCCCGAGCAGCCGGGCCCCTCCCTCCCATGCCAGCCCAGCCCCTGCCATCTTGGCCCTGGGAACCTACTGCCCCTCTGGCGAGCAGAGGTACTGCACTGTTGCCCAGGCCTCTGAGGGGCAGTGCTGCGGACAGAGGTCCCAGGACAGGGGCACATGCATGTGTATGTGTCCCCAAGGGCCCAGACTCTGCAGTGTCCCCAGGCACTCACCAGACAGGCAGCCCTCCTGGCTCGGCAGCCGGCTCCACCCCAGGCAGCACCTGAGCACAGTGCGGGCCTCTGTGGCGTACACCTGCTGGAAGCCCATGTAGTAGATGGTTCTGGAAGGGAAGAGAGGCACGTTCGCCGCCGCAGGAGCAGTGCCTGATCTCCCATGTCATCCCTGCCGAGCAGGATCCTACGGCTGGGACATGCGGCCCGTCTCCGCTGGCACCTCCCAGGGTGGCCCCTGCTCCACACTGGGGCAGGTGCACCTGGCCCTCGATGGCTGTCTACACTGTGGGCTCAGGAGTGCTGCGGGCCTTGGGGAGTTGGCCTGCATGGTTCCGTGTGTCCATCCATCCATACCCTGGCCTCCCAGGCCCCACAGCAGCAGATGCCCCGGCACCCACAAGGAAGGGTCTCAGCCCTTCTGCAAAACTCCCTTCCTGGTCCATCCGGGATGTCCCCAGCCACCAGCCTGAAGCCCTCACTCCTTGTGAGACAGATGGCCACCTGCCCTGTCCACCGTGGCACGCTCATCCTTCCCTGCTTAGACTGGGCAGAACAAGCTCCCTAAAGCTCAGGTCTCCTAACAGAGCCTGACGTGGAGACACGGGCTGAGCTAGACCAGCCGTGAGGGTAGGTGAGGTCCGTACGCGGGGGGCCTGGCCCAGGAACGGGGGCCAGCCAGCCAGGGGCAGGGAGAAGGTACATGGGACAGGAGCAGAGGTGGACGATGGGTCCCCAGGACAGGGGCCACGAGGATGGCTGTCATCAGCAGCACCAGGACTGGGCCCAGGACAGGTGGTCCTGAGTGTCCAGGAAGGGCCAGCCCTGCCCACGTGGACATGGGACTTGGTTCCTGACCTGGGAACAGCTCTTTAGCCGCTAAAGAGACAGACAGGGGCAAGATGACAGCATGGGTGCCCGAGCAAGACAGGTGACCGCAGCCCCCACAGCCCGCCACCATGACCCATGAAGACAGTGACCAGGGCCTGGCCAATGGCGCTGGATCAAGAGCCCTTGAGCCCGGGGAGCGGCAGGTGGCCTGGGCTGGCCCTCAGCTTGCTGGGGCCAGGTACAGCAGGCCAGCTGGCCAGCCACAAGCAGCAGACCTGTTCCCCCAGTGGCGCTCCGGTGCACACATTGCACAAGGCGTCCAGGGTGCCTTGCAGAGCCCTAGGCAGGACAGGAAACCACCAGCCTGGACAGAAACCGGAGCAGCAGGAACGAGATCCGGCAGAGCCTGAACTGCTTGGGCTGGATGGCTGTAAATATTTATTCCTGACCCGGCTGGAGGGTCATGACCTACGTGCGGCTTCTCGTGGCCATGGGTCCCTGCAGAAAAGACCTCAGAGAGGGCTGCAGGCCCAGGAGGGCAGAGCTGGTTCCCTGTGGCCAGCACTAGTACATGGCAGCAGCCACCAGGAGCTGGTCCACATGGGCGGGGACATGCAGGCCAGCGCAGGCCAGGCTGTGTCCCAGTGGGCACCACAGTGCCTGATGGGGCCCAGGCTCAGGGCTCTGGTGTCACCTCCCTCCCACTGCACCCCTTGCTTAGGGTGACCCTACTCCACGGGGAAACTGGGAGCCCCACTGTCTGTGGGGATTGCTGGAAAAGTGGAACCGAGGAGACCTTCCCAACCCCACCACCGCCCCATACCCTGCAGCTTAGACCCAGAACCAGAAGATAGACACTGCCACCATCACCAGCACCTGTGTCCCTCCGCGCTCACCTGGCTCAACCCAGGTGGGGGACTGAGGACTGCAAGGGAATCCACCTGGCCACAGCTCACCCACACGGAGACCCGGGCCCAGCGTCCTTCCCATGTCCTGTGCCCAGCGAGCTATCCCTAGAGTGTGGCAGGAGGCACATGCCAGGGGAGTGGCCCAAAGCTGGGGTGAGTTGGGATGCAGTGTGGGGGTGGGGCTGCTGCGGCCCCAGCACTCAGGAAGGCTGAGGCGGGTGGATCGCAAGTTCCAGCCCAACCTGGGCACCTTGGGAGAGCCTGACTCAAAGTAAAAATCAGAAAGGGCTGGAGATGCACCTTGGTGCGAGTTCAGGGCCCAGCATGGACACCAGACTACAAGGGCAGGACCCTGGCTGCTCAGAGCTGAGTCGCTACCCACCCAGCAACCATGCCCACCCTAGGCAGTGACCCTACCCAGCAGCCACTCCCTCCCCAGGCCACGCTGTCCACCCACTTCAAGGGTCAAGTTCCAGAGATGACGGTGAGCCTTCGAGGCCACCAAGCAGTCAGAGTGGAGCTGGTGACCAAGCTCAGCTCCACCACAGAGCCACGCAGCACAGCCTGAAGGGCCTGGCCAGCACGGTCACCACAGCCGCTGTGCTGCCTTCCGTGGGCCCAGCAGGGTGCATCCTCCCCGTGGGCACCAGGACAGCAAAGGGCTCCACTTCATCCAGTGGATGTCAGGGTGCAGAGCCAAGAACCAGAGCTGCACCCCAGCCTGGTCCTAACTGTTCCAGCAGAACAGCCAAGTGCAGAGAGGGGCAGAGCAGCCAGGAAGGCCACACTGCCCTCCCTGACTGCCGGCTTTCAGCCATCCTCCTGCCTCAGCCTCCTGAGAGTGTGACTGTGCCTGCCACCATGGCCAGCAGGAGGCGTCTTACGTGAGCCTGCGTCTCCCCTACACCCCCACTTGACAAGCCCAGCCTCCAGCAGTCGAAGAGTGTGGAAGTGGGCTTTTCCTCTTCTGCTCCACAGCAAGCTAGGCTTTTACACAAGGGCGGTGGCCTCTGTCCCCTCTACCGAGCTTGTGCCCCTAGCCTGGGTCACAGGGACAGACTCTGCAGAGTGTCCTTCGAAGGCAGGAAGGTATGTAAGGGCCCTCCTCAGGTCTGGTTTTGAAATAAAACATTGAGCAATAAAATGTTCCATGTGGACCTGGGCACGAGGCCCAGGGTCAGGCGCAAGTGTCAGGCCGGGAACTCGGCAGGCTGAGTACCCCACGTACCCAGCAGAAGAATCCCTCCCTGTGGTCCCTGTCCACCAGGGGTGCAGCCCTGCCCTTCACACGAGGCCCGCAAGTACCTGCGCTCCTGGCCAAAGCACCACACTTGCTGCCTGCAGCCGGGCTTCCACACGGGCACCACGCGGCTGAAGGCCCGCATGCAGGGCTGGCGGCGGCCCACCAGTGTCAGCTCCTGCTCCGCACACACGTGGGGCCTGGGAGGGAGGATGGGACATTAGTGCCTCCGCTGGGAGCCGGACACCCCACACAAGGCTGTCCGGGGATCCAGTCTCCTGTGCACACGCCACAAGCACCCCGCCCAGGCTCGAGGGCCAGGGTGCCGAGGGGGAACATGGCTGGCATGCTCCACACGGGCCGCAGTGCTGCTCGGACCCCCCAGGGCTCTTCACAGGAGGATTCACCATAGCCTTGGACAGAGAACAAGGTGGACAAAGGGGTAAACGGACAGATGAGGTGACAGACAGGTACCTCCCAGGAGGGCAGGATGGAAGCTGGGCAAGTGAAACCTGAGCCACGCTCCCCGTTCCATGTCCCCAACCCCAGGAGGTGTGAACCAGCCAAAGCACCCAAATCCCACCAGGCTTGCCCAGTGCCTGTGATGCTGGACTGACGCATGGCACGTGCCAGGCTTGAGGGCACCAGGATGAAGGGCGTGGGTGCTCCTGCCCCAGGCAGCCTGGATAAGGTGGCGGCTGAGGGACAGAAGGAGCTGGGTGCTATGCTGTGTTGCTGCCTTCTGCCCACCAGAAGCTGTTTCCTCACTGCCCGATGCCCTGCTGGGAGCCCCCAAGGATGGACTGGATCTCTACAAACCATGAGCCCAACAAACCCTGCCTCCATGAACTTCGGGCGTCGGGTATCCTGTCTCAGTGACAAAAGTAAAACAGGCTTCCCATGCAGCTGGAGGGCAGTTCCTGACTCTGAGCCCAGCTCAGCTCCCGCAGGCCATGGATGAGGCTGTGCAGGCCTGGCTCCTGGTGTGGTCCTGTGGGCCTTGTCCAAGGCTCTCAGCAGTTCTTTCTTGCTGACACACAGAGGAGCAAGTGTTGGGGCCTCAAGGTAGTGAGGCCACCCAGCACAGGGTCCTTCATCCCAGGGAGCAGGGGCCACAGGGCAGCGGGAGCTGGGCAGGGGTTCAGGCATAGGCACCAGGAGGTCTGAGCACAACAGGAAATGGGGCTGCTAGGAGGCCTTGTCCTCGGGGCGCAGTGACCTGAGCGGCCACTAAGCAGGGAGGGTACCTGGGGTGGGGCCCACATCTCACCTCCACACACGTGTGCACTGGTCATGGGTGGGCCTGTGTCTGTGGGGACTCCCAGGATGCCATGAACCCGTGGGCTACACGCCCAGTAATCTCCCACACTCGTGCAGTGCCACACGTGTTACCACTGGCCAACATTGTAAGTCCTTTCTCCTAGCCCCTCCCCAGCCACTGCACCTCTTCCATGGAGACGCCAGCCCCAAGGGGAACCAGGAACACAGTGTTCAAAGAACAGTCAAGCTTCCCAACACCCTGCAGTGGCCAGGCCAGGGCTTTGGTGGGGCTGGGCCACAGGAGGGGAATGTGGCCTTGTGAGTCCTCAGGCCAGGTCAGGATAGAAACTGGCAAGACCAGACTCAGCAGCCACATCACCCTGGGCAGGAGGCATCAGTGTAACTGTCTAACTCAAAGCTCCCCCAGAGGGGAGGCCAGGCCCACGTGAGCCACTGCCATGCCTGATCCAGGTCGGCCGGCCTGTTCTCGCCATTCTGGTGCCCACAGGCAGCCCTGCCCGCTCTGGGGGTGATCACCGTCCTTCCAGACCCCAGGAAAGACAGGCAGGCTGTCCTTCTGAGGCCAGAGAACTCCCCTCACAGGCTAAGCCAGGAGAAAGATAAGCTATGCCCACTGCTGGAACTGGCCTGCTCGGTTGGCAGGTACCAGAGGGCCATCCACACCCTCCAGCAGACCTGGGTTTGCTTAAACTCGGAAGCTCACAGTTCAGGAAAGCCAGCCAGAGGGGCTGCAGCTGCCCGTGGAAGGGCCAGCTGGCTCAGCAGATCTCTGGAGGGTGAGGGAGCCAGGACCAGCCAGGACCAGGTACACTCTAGGACCCTGCCCGCCACCTGCCCCCCCAGGCTGAGAGGAGCAAGAAGCAGACTTCTGGAAGCCCTGCGCCACAGTCTTCCGCCTCCTTTCTGCTGGCACCCCCTTCCTCTTTCCCTTGCACTGCCCTCCCTGGCCCTCAGGCTGCAGGAGACCTTGCAGCCCTACCAAGCACCAGGCACATATAGGTGCCGGACACAGCACCTGGCCACCAGACTCAGACAACAGGCAAGGGGCAATCCCAGAACAGAAGCCTCATGGGCACCTGCCAAAAGCCAGGAAAAGAGAAACTGTAGCCATCCCTGCAGGGTGGGGTGCCTAGGAGCAGCAGGGAGAGCTAAGAGGAGGAGGAGGAGGAGGAAGAGGAGGA